CAGGGCAGCAGGCCCAGGGAGCTCCGTGGCCCAGGGGCTGGCAGGGCTGCAGGCCCAGGGAGCTCCGTGGCCCAGGGGCTGGCAGGGCTGCAGACCCGCACCTACCTCACGTCCTCCTGCTTGTGCAGCGTCAGGTAGACCTCGTAGATCTTCCCCCGCGGGATGGCGTCGGGCGGGATGAGCAGGCTGATCCCTGCAGCAGGGCAGATGGCGCAGGTCAGCGGGTGCTGCCCTGACCCCAGCACCGCCCACGGGGCCCACCGGCCTTTCTGGCTCCAGTCCTGCCCCCACCCCCCAGGGCTGTGCCAGCCCGTGCAGGAGCGCAGGCCCAGCGTGGCTAGCCCAGACGCCCCTGGACTCACACGCTGGCTCGCAGGCCGGGGCCCCAGGGTGCCGCCCCACCCCCACGCCAGCAGTACCTGTGTTGGGGATCAGGAGCCGCCCCCCCAGGAAATTGAAGGTGCCGTAGGCCATGTTGGCAGCGCCCCGGGGCAGGGAGCGGAAGCAGCTCTGGGCGGCGAAGCGCGAGACGAAATCCACGCCCTCGGCGGCGGGCGAGCTGTGGTGCAGGGTGTGGCGCCCGGCACCCAGGGGGCTCAGCAGGTGCCCGTTGCTGAGCTGGAACTTGCTGTGCCCGTCCTGGCGCGAGCACAGGGAGCCCTGGTAGGTCATGGTGGCGGTGCTGAGGTCGGGCTGGATGGTGAGCAGGTGGGACGTCCCTGTGAGCGGGCAGAGGGTGAGCCAGTCACACACATGGTCAGGGGGCTCCCGGGGGCAGAGAGCCCTGCCCCCAGGGCAGGGAGGTACCGCCCCTTGCCCAGGCCAGTGGGAAGCGTCCTGGGGCCCAGGCCCGGCTCTGTGCCAGCAGGCTGGCAGGGACGAGCGCTCCCGGACCGCGCTGCCCAACCCCATGGGAGCTGCACCCCGCCCAGCGCTGCCCGCGCCCCCCATGCCGCACGCACCTGCCTTGGCTGGCTTGCTGCTGACGGGCTGGAAGCCGGCGGTGAGGATGGACGAGTCGGCCACGTCGGGGTCCAGGCCCCCCTTCTTGCGGCAGCACACCAGGACCACCACGAGCAGCAGCAGCACCAGGCAGACGGCCACAGCCATGAGCCCCACGTACAGTGCCACGTCCTCGGGGCCAGAGGCGGCTGTGGGGAGAACCGTGCTGAGCCAGGCTTTGCTCTGGCCAGGGCCGCGGGGTCCTGTGCTGCAGCGCCCCCCACAGGAGGGGACGGGCAGGCGCCCAGGGAGGCTGGGGCTCGGCACGAGGGTGTATCCCTGGGCATGTGCCAGATCGGGGCTGAGGCCTTCTGTGGGGCTTTGCCAGGGCCAGGCTCCCCACTGGGCCCCACTCCTGGGACCCGCATTCGCAAAGCGTCTCTGTCCCCACGGGAAACACAGCTGAGGGCATGTGAGTGTTGGCCTGACATAGAATCATAGAACTGGAAGGGACCGCGAGAGGTCGTCTAGTCCGGTCCCCTGCACTCCTGGCAGGACTAAGTATTATCTAGACCATCCCTGACAGGTGTTTGTCCAACCTGCTCTTTAAAATCTCCAATGATGGAGATTCCACAACCTCCCTGGGCAATTTATTCCAGTGCTTAACCATCCTGACAGAAAGTTTTTCCTAATGTCCAACCTAAACCTCCCTTGCTGCAATTTAAGCCCATTGCTTCTTGTCCTATCCTCAGAGGTCAAGAAGAACAATTTACCTCCCTCCCCCTTGTAACAACCTTTTATGTACTTGAAAACTGTTATCCTGTCCCCTCTCAGTCTTCTCTTCTCCAGACTAAACAAACCCAGTTTTTTCAATCTTCCCTCATAGGTCATGTTTTCTAGACCTTTAATCATTTTTGTTGCTCTTCTCTGGACTTTCTCCAATTTGTCCACATCTTTCCTGAAATGTGGCGCCCAGAACTGGACACAACACTTCAGCGGAGGCCTAATCAGTGCAGAGTAGAGCGGAAGAATTACTTCTCGAACTCAAATGTGAAATTGCAGGACTACTAACTGTAGTCTGTAACCTATCATTTAAATCAGCTTCTGTACCAAATGACTGGAGAATAGCTAATGTAGCGCCAATTTTTAAAAAGGGCTCTAGAGGTGATCCCGGCAATTACAGGCCAGTAAGCCTGCCTTCAGTACAGGGCAAACTAGTTGAAACTATAGTAAAGAACAGAATTGTCAAACACAGAGATGAACATAATTTGTTGGGGAAGAGTCACCATGGTTTTTGTAAAGGGAAATCATACCTCAGCAATCTACTAGAATTTTTTGAGGGTTTAAACAAGCATGTGGACAAGGGGGATCCAGTGGATATAGTGTACTTAGATTTTCAGAAAGCCTTTGACAAGGTCCCTCACCAAAGGCTCTTACGCAAAGTAAGCTGCCACGGGATAAGAGGGAAGGTTCTCTCATGGATCAGTAACTGGTTAAAAGATAGGAAACAAAGGGTAGGCATAAATGGTCAGTTTTCAGAATGGAGAGAGGTAAATACAGTAACTCCTCACTTAAAGTCGTCCCGGTTAACGTTGTTACGTTGCTGATCAATTAGGGAACATGCTCATTTAAAGTTGCGCAATGTTCCCTTCTAACGTCGTTTGGCAGCCGCCTGCTTTGTCTGCTGCTTGCAGGAAGAGCAGCCCGTTGCAGCTAGCTGGTGGGGGCTTGGAACCAGGGTGGATCGGCAGCCCCCCATCAGCTCTCCCTTATCAGCTCCCCGCTCCCCTAAGTTCCCTGTGCTGCAGCCACCCAGCAGGCTAGCAATTGCAGCTGTCCCTTCCCCCACTGCCATGTGCTGCTCCTGCCCTCTGCCTTGGAGCTGCTCCCCAAGACTCCTGCTTGCTGTGCAGGGGGGGGAGGAGGGGCTAATGTCAGGGCGTCCCCCTCCCCCCTGCTCCTGCACCCCGCTTACCCCATCTCCATATAGAGCAGGGAGGGAACACGGATGGAGAGAGACAGAGAGAGCTTGGGGCAGCAGCTGCTGTC